GTTGATTTGGGGAGCCATGTCATTTGCTGGTGTTGGTCCACTGTGCTTCATTAAGTCCAGGGTTAATGCAGCCGTCTAGGAGATTTTGGAGCACTTCATGCTTCCTTCCGCAGACAAGCTTTATGGGGATGCTGACTTCATTTTCCAGCAGGACTTGGCTCCTGCACCAAAGCCTGGTTCAATGACTGTGGGATTACTGTGCTTGATTGGCCAGCAAACTCGTCTGACCTGAACCCCATAGAGAATCTATGGGACATTGCCAAGAGAAAGATGAGAGACACGAGATTGAATAATGCAGAAGAGCCGCTATTTAGGCATCCTGGTCTTCGATAACACTTTAGCAGTGCCACAGCTTCCATGCCATGCCGCATTGAGGCAGTAATTGCTGCAAAAGGGGCCCAAACCAAGTACTGAGTCCATATGCATGCTTATACTTTTCAGAGGTCCGATATTGTTCTATGTACACTCCTTGTTTTATTGATTGCATGTAATATTCTAATTTACTGAGATTGTGGATTTGGGGTTTTCATGAGTAGTAAGCCATAATCATCGCACTTATGACAAATCACGGCTTGAACTATCTTGCTTTGCATGTAATGCGTCTATCTCATATTAGTTTCCCCTTCTACGTTGCATTACTGAAATAAATTAAGTTTTGCATGATATTCTAATTTTTCGAGTATCACCTGTACATACATACATACATTTTGTAGTTTGTCTTGTTCTGTATGCTAAAGCTAGTTGTTCACTGCCCTACTCCTCATTGTTGGTTTGTTAACTTAAATGTTATTCAACTATCTGCTTATCTCTAAAGACTTTCTCTGTTATTTCCGCCCCCTGCCCCTTTATTTTATTGATACCCACCCGAATGGTCCTGCTTGACCAATCCTCACCTCCTCTGTGCATCTTCATTCCATAGTTTTATTGCAAGCCTTTTTTGACCCTATCATCTCTGTCTTCTCCAGTCTGAGGTTTAAAAAAGTTCCCTACTGCAAACCAGAACATTGCTCATTGCGGCAGAGTTCATGTCAGACGCATCAAGGGAGTGGTGATCTCTCTGCTCTCCACCCTTGCGCGCCGTTTGCGGATGCTGGGAGCCGGAACATGACGTCATATTCTGGCTCCCGGCATCAATAGACAGGTAGGAGGTAGATGTATGTGGGGGGAGAACGTGTGGGGTAGGAGGTAGATGTATGTGGGGGGAGAACGTGGAGGTAGGAGGTAGATGTATGTGGGGGGGAGAACGTGTGGGGTAGGAGGTAGATGTTTGGGGGGAGAATGTGTGGGATAGGAGGTAGATGTTTGGGGGGGAGAATGTGTGGGGTAGGAGGTAGATGTATGGGGGGGGAGTACGTGTGGGGTAGGAGGTAGATGTATGGGGGGAGAACGTGGGGTAGGAGGTAAATGTATGAGGGGGAGAAAGTGTGGGGTTGGAGGTAGATGTATGGGTATTGTGTCCTATTGGTTAACAATTTATTTATTTTTATTTTCATCAATAGAAATGTTTGTTTATATCAGTACATTACATTTATACCTGACATTCCAAAAAGGAGATTTTTCAGAGGAAATAACAGTTCTCTCTATCAGAGTCTACGACTGCACAGCAAAAACAGACTTGAAGGAAAAAATAAAAACAAACATCTAAAAGCCAAACTATTGAAATAGTAGAAAGAGAGATGAAACCGACGGCTATCATGTATAAACAATATGAATATTTTACTTGTTTGAAGTTTAACAATCCTTAACGAGAAACTGTCACTATGATAGAATTTACACCATTAAAATGTTACTATAACCCCCTTTTCACTATAATCACCCCCCCCCCCCCATTTATAAACACCCTGACACTATTAACTTTGTCCAGCCCAATATTTATTAAGACAAATTATTAAATAAGAATAAAACTCACAGGGCAGCCTGCAAGCATAGAAGCAGATTACATCTGTTGCCAGCAGTTATTCTGCTCAGACAACAGATGAATCGCTTAACATAAGATATATCTTATGTACAGCTTGCAAAAATGACATGAAATGGTCATGAGCCTGGACTAAGCCTTAAATGTACATTGAAAACATATCATTTGTGTTAAATAAACACTCCAAATACCATTACCACTACTGATAATGTCAGTGATTATTCCCGACTGTTAGTAGTAAAACAGTTTGTGAATGTTTTTTTTCTTCTTACCTGGGATCTACCAGGTGCAGTTACCTAACCCCATTACGAATACTGGACAGCATTAGAATACAAATATGTCAACTGATCGTTCTCAGCCAATGAGCAAAGCCCTGCACTACAAGCTTAGCTCAGGTGAGTAAGTGAAAGCTCCTACTTAGGATATTCTGGCGTTAATAGCAAGCTGTAGTGGTTATGGTAGTTGGAGAGTTCCTTTAACTTTTTTTTTTATGAGATGCTCCATTTTATTTAAGATTTAATTTAAAGATAAACCAAATTACATCATAACCCAGTTCAGGCAAGGCAAACAGACAACCCAAGCAGC